CGAGCGTTTGTGTCTAGGACAATGGGAACTGCTGAGTGCAACTACTCGCAACTGGACCGAGAAGGCTTGGACGTCGTGTATGAAGTTAGCTGTTTCCATCTATGCGTTGCGGAATGGAGCATGATCAGTTACACTGATCATCAACCACTCCTCCGCATCATCGGAGCTGACAAGCATGTGCCGGAAGTTCTGCCACCGAGGATGACGAGATGGTGCGTAAAATCAGCTGCCTACAATTACAAATCAAGGTACAGGCCAGGTAGCATTGTCCACAACAGAGAAAGAGCCAGAAGTACCAGGAGACATCTCTATGTTCAAGGCATTGACCCATTCGCTGTTAATCGCAGACCAAGTGGCGAAGAAAATGGCATGCGACGACGTCCTGGGAACTGTATACCGAGCTCCAGGAAGGCACTCTTCATTGGTATCACACAGAGGATGAATAACCTGGGGAACATGAATTCTGATTCCCAATCAGTAGAGAACACAGACCAATGGCTCCAATTCACTCGGAATATCGCGGAATTGTCGGGATGAAAGTTTGCGCTCCGAGCTACGTATGGTGGCCCAAAATCGATGCCTATATCAAGTCATGGGTTACTGCATGTACCAGCTGTCAGATACACAGCGAGTCACCGGTGAAGGAACCTAGCAATGTGTGCAATAGGCCAACCGAGCCATAGGACACTGTTCACCTTGAGTTTGCAGGTCCTGTCGATGGTCACGTTTTACTTGCTGTGGTGGACGCGTTTACAAAGTGGCTGAAAGTCCGCACGTGCACAACACGTCTGCCGCCATCATTAAGGAATTACGGGCTATTTTTTACGACACTTGGCCTACCAAGAAAAATTCTGCCCGACAATGGTGCAGGGTCGGTTTCCGAAGAAGTGAAAACATTTTACCGAAACAATGGTCTAGTCGCTGTAACGAGTGCGCCGTATTAACCTGCGATTAGTGGGCAAGCAGAGTGAATGGCACAGGAGCTAAAACACACACTCACCAAGAAGGAGGAGGACCCTAATTGTGTGCTGGCCAGGTTTTATCAACGTAGCGGGAAAAACATCAGCATAGTTGTTTTATGGCAGGGAATTGCCTTCAGCTCTGGAACAACTGAAAACGGTACAGCCTGAAGAGCCAACAGCAACAGCCAACCCACGGGAACTAAACGTGGGACAGGCGGTATGGATCAACAGGTTTCCAAACAGCAAAGGTTGGGTGCCCGGCGTAATTGAAAGTCAGATGGGATTCCGTTCATGGATGGTTAAAATAGATGAAGGTTCAGTACACCAACACACCAACCACATACACCGGCGATTGGCCACAGTCAATATCAGACAAGAAGTGAAAAGTCTGTCTCCAGTGTGAGACCTCAAGATTGACCACCACAGGCACCGTCTCCTGGTGCCGACAGTCCATGCCTACCAGTTGCACCCTTCCATCAAGCTGGCAACAGTCCAGTGGTGCTTCCTCAAGAACCAGTGTCAGCATCAACAATGACAGACCTTGATCCTTTCCCTGGTAACCGCAGGGGCACTCAAACGCGACGACAACCACAATGCTATAGAAGCCACGACTAGTTGGAGGGGATGTTATGTACCACCAGAAACTGGTGCCCATCAGCTTGCGACCATCAGCTGCGTGTGCACGGCATGCTCAGCAGCCTCAAGCACGAGCTCAAGAAACGCCAGGCTCTATCGCGAATGCTAGGCAATAACGGAAGCTCCACCGGAAATAAATAGACTTGGCAACCGTTATCAAATGTCTACAGCTCGTATCTAACAAAAAGCATCCTGACAAGCATAAAAAAAAAAAAGAGAAGTATTCTTTCTTGCTCAAAGAGACTTCGTAAGCAGTCTTCAAACAACTCATTTTCAATTGCGGTCAAACAAATTTAAATACTGTAAACGACTAAATTTTTGTAAGGACCTAATTTTCGCGAATCGCCTACAATTCGCGAAAAATACATCCTGCAAACAATTCTGGCAATATGTGAACACTACGGAAGCTACGCTCGACTCGCAAAAATTAGAACCTGCGAATAATTTCAAATTTTTAGCTTTGGCCCGATTCGCGAAAATTTGAGCCTGCGAAAATTAAGTTGTTTACAGTATGGGACATGTCGCTGAAACTATTACAGTTGCAAGTTCAAGTCAATGCCAAGTAGGGTGGCATTATACTATCAGCTACAAGAGATAACGCTTGCTGCAAACTTCACCTGGCAAAGTGTCATGCAACAAACTACAGTGGACTCCCATTAAACGAAACTCGCTTAAACGGAAAATTCGGATAAACGGAACTCTAAAGGTTGTTTCGGTTGGTTTCCTATGTATTTAATGATAAATTCTTCGGGTAATCGGAACCCCCCTTTTTGCTTACTTCGGTTAAACGGGACCGAAACCGAAACTACCCATGGCGACCGCGGACATCGGAAATAGCTACAACAGTCTCACAACCATGGAGTACGCAATAGCCAAGACTGAGGACACTTTAAAGGGAAAGGGGTTGTGTTAGAACAAAATTTATACAAATATTATTATAAAAAAAAAAAAAAAGTTGTTAGGCTAGGTGACGCGAGGTGCCGCTCGTTACAAAGGGTACGGTACAGCCATTCATCCATCCATCCAAGCCATTATATTAAGGCAATCCAATCCAGTCTGTCTACCGCCATTAGGGTTAGCGCCTCGTCTGTTGCGCGTCACGTTTACCATCGAGTACACAAACCAGCGTCCGCTTGCCGTGTTGTGATGGAAGCGGTAAAAAAGCGGCCGCACCAACCGATCTCGCTTGCTACGAAAATGAAGATCCTTCAAGAGCTGGATCGTGGTGACCTCTCGAAGACGGAGATCGCAAAGAAGTTCGATATCCCGAAGTCTACACCCTCAAGGATATCAAAGGACAAAGAAAAGATTCAAGACGCTGTAAAGCGCGGAAGCTTTGCCACCGACCGAAGGAGGATGCGAAAGACGCCTTTTGAGGAAATAGAGAACGTCCTTTTTCTCTGGTTTAAGCGCGCGCGAAGTGCTAATTTCCCGATCAGCGGCCCCATCCTCGAAGAAAAGGCTGGAGAGATTGCGTCTCAGTTGGGAATAGATAACTTCAAAATGAGCGACGGTTGGCTCAGCCGTTTTAAAAAGCGCCACGGCCTAGTCTTTAAGACTATTTCTGGGGAAGGTGCAGCAGTCAACAGAAACCTTTGTACCTCCAAGGCATGCACACCTACTTCGTCAAAAAGCGATTACAAAATGCAAAACAAACTACCATTACCTCTTTTTTCTAGTCAGCTACATTAGCTGGACATCATGCTTGTGAAATAAAGTCATATTTCACTCATTTTATGTGTTTTGCTTTAATGAAACTTCTGATAAACGGAACAAATTTTTCTGTCCCTTCGAGTTCCGTTTAAGAGGAGTCCACTGTAAATGGCAATAAAAAAATAAAAGTTGATTGACGTCCTGCTTTAATCGTTGGTGGAAAAGAAAAAAAGAAATGTCACTGTGGGCTGTTAAAGCATCTCATTTAAAAAAACAGTGAAATGAGAGAAGAAAATTCTGATTTCATCCCCATGCCTGTCAGGTCAAACGTCCGAATGTACAAAAACAATTTATTTAAACCTGAAATGCTTAACTAAGGGAAAAATCATTTTGTCTGTAATATATATAAAAAAAAAAAAAAAAAGAAATCTCAAATACATTTTTTTTTAACATATGCTAAAATTGTTGAAAAAAAAAAAAAAAAGTTGAGCAGCCCTGTGTAAATTTACAGCAGTCAGAGCAATAGCTGCGACACGTTACGCCAAAGTCATTGTGTTAACACACACCTGATCATGTTTCAAACACTTGTTTCTTTTTGTTCCGAAGTGCGTGAAAGCATCTCTCCCGGCACGAGCTCCTGGCAATAACAATGCTACGACAGCATTTTATCGGCTATTATTTTTCAATGAGCACACGCAGTAGGCATTGCATACTGCAAAAACAAAATAGATATATAAACACTTCGTTCAGAACACTTTTTTTTGCTCCAGAACACATGAGAGCGTCCCTTCCGGTACAAGCTCTTGGCATGGAAGTGCTACAACATTTTTGTTATTGCCCTTTTTTTCAGAGCGCGTGCAGTGGGCATTGGGTACTACATAAGCCTTAAGTATAGAACGGGTTGTTAATGCTGTGGCGTGGCTCTGTGGTGACGCCTTTACTTCGCACGCAGCGGAACCCAGGTTCGATTTCTGCAGGTGATGCTTTTTAAGGATTTGGCAGCATCAACGATGGACAGCCTACAACTACAACATAAACAACGGACGTCATTCCTGTGGTGGGAAGAGCCCAGAACAGCTATTGCTGTAAAATGAACTGAGCAACAGGAGAAACCAGTGTGGGAGGACTGAACACTGCAAAGCAACTGAACAAATGCTACAGCACACGTGAAGGACATAATGAAGACCAGAAAAATAAAAGCAGAGAGAAGCAAAAGGAGCTGGCAGCCGATACCAGGACATGCAAGCATTTGCTCGTTATCGCATCATCACCATCACCCCCCCCCCCCCCCCCCCCCAGCACAAGCGATAAAATACAACCACCTGCCGTTGCCCAATCCCGATTTGCGTTAAAAAATTTCTCGACTGTCTTTTTCGAAGATCCTTTGTACCAACCCGTCATGCATTCAAAATATTTTTACTAAACCTTTTTATGTTTCATTTCGTCTCAATCATTTTCATAATGTAGGCATACCAATGTGCCAGAGTAACACATGCCACGAGTCATTCATTCCCAAAGCCTCTCTAGACAAACCACTTACCCACTTGCATTGTCAAAATTCGGCCCTATACTCCATTCAAATCCGCTGTTACTAAGCTATTGTATAGTGCCGTAAGCTGATTTCTGTCTTGTCCTTGTTGTTAAGTTTCATATTGTTAGTTTTGTACGACCCGTTCTCCTCCGCCATGCAGTCGACCAGAGAGTAAAATAAAAAAATCTGGTTCTCTCTTTCTCGGAAAGAACACCCACCCGCGAACGCCTTGGCCTCGTCGGTGGGAACGGCCCTGAGGTGTCTCAAGTCGTTCTTGTTGCCCACCAGCATGATGACAATGTTCTGGTCTGCGTGGTCCTTCAGCTCCTTCAGCCAGCGCTCCACATTCTCGTACGTCAGGTGCTTCGCAATGTCGTACACGAGCAGAGCCCCCACCGCTCCCCGGTAATACCTGCGCCGGCAAGAAGGAAGCCACGCTGTCAGGGCAGTCACTAAGATACACTGGAGACTGCAAGAGGCACAGGAGACTGGATATACAGACCAGTGTCTGCTCTGTTCCATGGGTGCCACCACGTTTCTTTATACTGACACCAACACAACAGGGGGCTGCACTTTGTGCAACACTCAGTTTCTTTAGAAACCTTTACACACTTCACAGTGCAGGAACATCAGAAATGCTTAGTCACGAAGCTCCAAGAACACAGATGCTAAGAGTGCTGTAAAAAGCAAAAATCTTTAATGCGCAGCCCCTCTCTTCACAACAGTCTATGTTTGAGATTAATTTTCATTTTTATTGCTGGGGGCAAGGACTTTGAATACTGGTTTATACTTGGAGATAGTACAGTAGAAGATAGAGACCAAAAAGTCACCAGGAAATATTCTAGGACATAATACAGTCACTAGGAGATTTAGGAGACAGGAAAGGTAGTCACTAGGAGATATAGCGGACAGGAAATATACTGCAACGTTCCAAGGAAAGTAAAACAGTCAGGAAATGAAAAGTCGTCAAGAAAGAAATTAGAACATAGTTCACAGAATGCATAAAGGATGCTTCCCATCATAGAGGGGCCATAAAACATTCGCCATGTTAGTTCAGAGAACAGCCCAGTACATGTAACAATACATGTACACATCTTGCGCAACTTAGACCCACCCTGACCAATACCAAATGTTTGATATATGACAAATGATCAAATGAGACCTCCCAAGTCCTGAGCATGGGCAGCATATAGAAGCATACAAAAGAAACTGAAGCTCTTTTGCTACCAGATAAAGCAATACTTAATGTCGCATAGTGAGAAAAAAAAAATTGTGCAACATTACAATATGGCAGAATGAAAGCCTCAAAATGTTTATTGACATCTTACCAAGTTACTTATTTCCTAGGCCAAATCCCTTAGCAAAGCCTCTTCTGCCACTCTTTTCAGGCAGCAAAATTTTTTTTTTATTTTCAATGTCTGGATGGTGCAAGACAGTCAGTGCATTCATATAGACCATATTATTTACTTAGAGGTGTTTACACATGCAAGTGCACACTGGTCCACAAGATCCAGCAGCATCAACAGCTCTAATGATCCACAATTTTTTTCTAAAAACCAGGAAAACAGCATGTCGGTCATAGGAAATATGTTTACTAGTTTGATAAAAAAAAATGTTAATAAAAGGAGGACAAAAATCTACCACAACACTGACTTGTTTGGGCATGTTTACCAGCCAATCTTTTTACGCTGTGTCTAAAGTATGTCTGATGGACCCGGCCAAGCTTCTCGAAGATACATGCCGTAGACGTATCCATAATTTTCTACCAAGTCCGTCAGACTCTGATGCAATGAAAAGCGACACAACCAACATGTTGCTAATTCCATAAGCCATTCTACAAAGCAGTAAGAGGAATGTAGCGAATGATCTCCCGCATTGCCCATCCATGTTTTCATCTCCAAATCAATCCAACACAGCTATAGTGGGCCTGGGGAGCACAGCGAATCCTGGCGCTGACATCGTTGATCCCAAAATAAAAGAATGATAAAGAAAGCTACAAAAAATAATGAAAAAGAAAGTTTCAGAACATTTGTTTTGCTCTGAAGTAGCCAACTTCAGTTTTCTTTTGTAGACGCCCAACGGCTGTGTTTTCTTGCAAAATGAGGCTAAAGAGACCACACAACAGCCTCGCAAGTATTTGGCTGCTTGTTTGTGTTTATTACAGCTTCACCAGCGATATGGGCCTCCTGGAGCCACTATGTTTATGCATGTAAACGTGACAAACCTCTTCCTTTAGAGTTATCAGAATTATCTATGCCACATACATCCAGCATATATTCAGAAAAATTGACTGGATCCATCCGATCTACCTTTGAAGGGACACTGACACCCCGAAATATTTTTATTTTTTGCCAGTCAATTTAACATGGTGTCAGAAGACTACCCAATCAATATTTTGCTACAGCATCACATATATTTTTAATCAAGTACAAAAACGCAACTGCTCGAGATCGAAACCGAAACTGAACTGGGGAGGAAGAAGAAATATAGAGGAGGAGGGTGTTGACAAAAACCCCTAACTCTGCAACTTTTTTTTTTTTTTTTCAATCAGCGTATTGGCAGCGTTCTAGAAGCCACAAAGAATGAGTAACATATCTTTTTTTCTATTTTTAATACTGAATGTTTTTTTTAATGACCCAAAACTTTGATTATATTTGGTGGTTGTGTCTAAACCATAGAAAATGGCACATGACCACCGAGAAGAGTGAGCATGCCTCAAATCGGCCAGTTCTCAATTGGCGCTTTTCGGGCTAAAAGAAAGCCGCAAATTTGTTTCTGGGTAGTTAGGCTGTCATGTGTCATGCACAAATAAAAACCTTGACGAGCATAAATATTGTGTCACTGTCCCTTCAAGAAACCCCACCAGATTCATTCAACACGTCTTTAAGAAACCTTACCGAGTCTATTCAACATACCTTTGAGACGCAGAAAGCTTTTGAAGCAGCAACAGTGTCCCAACAAAGCATTCAAGACACTTGAGACTTCCACATAGCAATGTTGTGTGACAGCTGTCTGCATTGGGTGTGTCAAATAGTTGCTATCACAGGCGACGACAGGCTCACTCAGGTCATCGTGCTGTGTTTTGTTAACTACATTTGGTATGTATTAGTGATGGGACGAATCGCCAGGGATTTGGATTCTGACAGACTCGGAAATTTCCAAACTTCCCACGACGAATATTCAGCAGATTCGGAAATTCGTCACTCGTTGCAGACGGGAGCGTGAAACTTGTCATAAGCCTCGCGAATGCAGTCAGTTGTGTTCTTTTTAGGTACTGTTACTGCATATAACCAGATTTCGTCTTGTTTATGTCAACGTATGGTATGTACTGTCATTCTAAACCCTGGCCTGTTTTTAAACAGTGCTTGTTTAAAAACAGGTGTGGTTGCCGTAGGCTTAACCAATGCATGGTCTCGGTTTTTGTGCGGTTTCACAGTGATCGGTAAGATGTAGCAAAACGCTCTGTATTATACGTAATGTGGTGCAACACAAAATAAATATATTCAGGCAAGGAAATGATTTGTCTCCTTGTCTAGAGCTGCGTATATCTGTACCTGTAAGGCGCGAGAGCGAGATGAATGTTGCTCGTCACAACTTCGACCGCGCACCGGCAGCGAAAAAAAAGTTGCTAATTCGCACTGTCGTTTCTCCGTTCTCAGCAAGTCGGCCGTGAAACGTTACTGTAACAAAATCTGATGTCATTAATCAGAAAGGTGCAGATGCACTACAGGGGATTAAAAGCATGGCACAAGGAGTTTCAGATTGTTTCCCGTGTTCCGATAACAATACCTTAGTGGACAGATGTTGGAGAAAATCTAATCTAACATACGCACTTGTGTGGTGCGTGCCCCTATGACCTTAATTATGGGCACGAAATATGTCTACCGAACAGCACATACGGCATCAATCTTTTGCGGCGATGAAATCATGCGCTTATATTTCCACGTGCACAGAACATGCCTATTTTGGTCGTAATCCGGAACCGACTTTCCCGCTATGTTTGGCTCGACAAACATCCAAAATAATATAAACAAAGTGGAACATTTCATTTATTACTATAATATTATATTACAACATTATTTTGTGCAACTTGTAGAATTTAGTGAATTTAATATCACGAAAAGTTGAAACACTCATCGATGTTTGACCGCTGATCTGGCGACCATGGCAACGCTCCGAATCTTTCCGAACTGTTCTGAATCGCTTGAGACTCGGCTACTCTTCCACATCTTTCCAAATCTTCAGATTCAGTTCCAAATCTCGCTTCGGATAAAGATTCGTCCCATCACTAGTATGTATATAAGACGGTGCTTTTGATGAAATAAACATATGTGTCTCGTTGCCTCGCTGCTGGCTATGCTACTTCCTTTCTGCATCCCCGCAGAATAAAATGCAGAGTTTGATCTTAAGCACCGCCCGGGCACAGACCAACGTTGGCAGTGACTGACATACAAGCGAGCAAAGTTACCAAGCTTCATTCGTGTGTGTTCAAGTAGTATGCATACATTTGATTTCTTCTTTTTAGTTCTTCCAACAGCAGCAAGAGATATCCTGGAACTAACATGGACGATCAGCTTAAACAAAAGTGGTATGCCCACAGCCGCTACTGTTATTGCACCATCGATGAGGTACAATTCCCCTCATCCAATAAGAGCTTGGAGACGAGCAGCAGTGCTTTTGCTTGCTAGGAAATAACTGATTTTCGAGTTATCTGCATCTTGAAGCTATCGCTATAGTTGGCGACAGGTAAGTACGCAGTAGCAGCCCCACCTCCAGGACGAGCCCGCTGCCTTCCATTGTGCTTTGGCTGAGCCAAAGTTTTATCTAAGGTAGAAAATTTGCCTAGATGTGGGGCTTTTTAAAGCGGTAGTGCAACAATTTTAACGTTGAAAAAATTTGCAGCTTGTATTTTTTATATTGTTTATCTAGGCGCAAGTGAGAAAAAATGCACCACCCTCCCCCGAAAAATTGCTATTCCACCGCGTAATCGCAGAGGAAAAACAAATTATCTGCCGACCTGCAGCCGCGTGTGGCGGTTACGGGAACTATGCTGTCGTGTTATTGGAGTACATGTGGAATTAAAAAAAAGCAGCGCCCCTCTACTTCTACGCTCACCATCAAACCCGTGGCAAAATGTCTTTTGTCTAAATCGCTCGCCTTAACCTTTAATGATGCCAATCCTTGAAAAGTCTACAATCGCGGAGGGAGTGGCTGGGGGCTATAAAGACAGAACCCAAAGGGTGGTACCCCAGTGACGTCACTTGAAAGACGGCGCGATAGTTGAGTGGTACACTTTGATCCTCTATTTGTTTGAGTTTTTAAAAAATAAAATAGTGCAAGAAAAGATTTTTTACTGTTTTTTGTTTCATACACTTTTCCAAAAAACGTCCCTAGGTCACCGCCATGTTGCTG